AAAAAAAATTCATCATAATGGCAATTTTGGGCAGGAGGGAAAGAAGGAAAGGACAAAGGGGAATACAGAGGACCTCATCTTGATAATGGTTTCTGTTTTAAATAATATCTGGGGGAGGGGCACACAGGTATTAGCTTATTATTCCTCTGACCTCTCTACATGCCCTGCTCTTTCTACTAAAACTGCTTTAGGGCTCATTCCAGCACCATAGCGAGGCTGTCGAGAGCTCACTGGATGTTTCACACTTGCCCACCCATTCCAGGTGACATCTGAAGGGGCCTGAGAGGCTGGTCTCAGAACTGAGGACCTGCAGACAAACCCATATCCCAAGTCTGGGGGAGTTGGCAATCTTATGGAAAAAAAAAAAGGGGTGAGCGGTAAGTTTGCAACTTGGCACATCTAAAAATTGTCAGGGATTCCAGTAAACGTGGGTAAAGATGTAGGAAATAGAAAAAACAGTATCAACGTCAATTACTTTGTAACCGCACCATCAGATTATTTTTAAAGAATTATATCTCTTAATCATAATGCCCTCCACTTTAAAATCATTGAGAAAGGGTCAAAAAAATGAAAATGAAAACCCTGATATGGCAATTTTATTTTTTAAAGTGCAATACTGCAAAAACACCCAGTATCTCCTCATCAGTCTCTGGATGAGCCACACGCATCGCAAGGATCTTAGTGAGCCCTTAGAGAAAATCGTGCACCCGCATGTGTATGTCTATCATCTTTTTGAAAAATTCAATATTCTCCAAGGCCCAACACCTGGAGAGTCTGATCCAGTGTATTTTTTAAGTCTGTACCTGTTTGCGTAAGCTCCCAGGCGATCGTGATGTGCTGCCTGGCAAGGCCTGATTTCTCTAAAACAACTTCCGTAACGACTAAGTTCATAAATGCCAACTTGATAAGCTGAACTGGTAATTCCGCACCACGGACCCCTACCGAGCAACAGGGAGGACAGCTGCCCGATCACAAGGTGACCTCATCATCCACGGCCCGATTCTGGACCAAACAGCAAAAGGGAAAAGACAGCCGAGCAGCTAAGGAGACCCAGCCGTGGCCCACCTGCTCTCCCGCAGAACAGGGCACTCAGCCTTCCTACCAGAGTTCCGCCTCTATCATTCAAACCCTGTTGAATGCTGTTCGGTATTTGGCCACTTAAGTGTAGTTAAGACTAAATAAAACTCACAATTCACATCTAGAACTAATGATGTAATGTATGGGGATTAACATCAGAATAAAAAAAACAAACTCACAATTCAGTTCCTCGGACCCACCAGCCATATTTCCGGTGTTCAACAGCCGTACGTAGCCAGGGGATACTGTACAGCAGAGCTCAAACAGCACATTTCCCTCATCCCTGTTTCACAGTGCTCACCCGAAGCATTCATTTCATGACCACATCATCCCCGGTGGCTTGGCCTTCAAGCTTCTATCCACGCCCCTATCTGACGGCTACAATACCCTCCAGAGCAACAGTGCCCACCCAGGGCGGGGGGAAGGTTCCAGGAGGTCAGAAATCTCTAGGGCACGGGACATTTGCAAATCACCCCCACCCACAGATGCCGGCACCCCTAAGTCCTCCCATGGCTGAGAGGCTCTATTAGGCCACCAGAGGATTCTTTAACATTCTGAAAAAGAGCCTCATTCCAATTCAAACCACAAGTGCTAACCTCCTAAAAGAAAAAAAAAGAGAGAGAGAAGGTACTGGTGTGACAGGCCAGCCCTACTTCTCTGCCCGGCCATAAAGAATCAGGTGTTTTACTGCCTGAGAATTTGGAATTGGGGCCAAAAGAGAGCTAGCTGGAATACCATGCCCTTTTGAGTCATGGAGATAAATATAGGATCCCATCACCTAGCTTCAACAACTATGGACTCAGGCCAGCCTGGTTTCCTGCGGCCCCACTCACACCCCGTGTTCTTTAGGAATGGAAGGTTCTGGAGAACCCCTCCCCCACAACATCAAGGCCCTGTGTCTGCACAGAGCAGAGGGAGCCCTCTTGTGCGGGCTGTCGGGGGTCTAGGCCTCATCCTGGGTGATGGCTACAAACTCTCTGAGCCGAAGCACCAGTCTCATGAGGCTGTTGAGACAAATGCAGGAAACAATCCCCATGGAATGCTTAGCTTGGCGTCGGGCTGAGCAGGGGCTTGTGGGCGGGAGCTCTCCTCACTGCTGTGGAGGCTGTCACTGTCACTCTTCCCATGGCTGAGCGGCACTGTTCAGTCTTGTTCTGATGGCCACCCCAGCATTTTATTAATGCTTTCCTAAAGGTAGGGCAATTTTGTTTCATGCTTTCAATTTGGAATTAAAAAAAAAAGTCTATACCGAAAAAAAAAAAATAGTATTATCACTACTGAAGCTGTGGTTTACTTCTAGGCCTTTGCTGTTACTACGATTACTAGGACTAGTTGTAATAACACCAGCTACCAGTTTTTGAGCTTCTAGTCCATGTCAAGCATTGTGCCAAGCCCTCCATAAATATTATCTCACTGAATCCTCACAAGCTACACTGTAAGGGGGATTCCTGTTGTTATTCTCACTCGAGAGCTGAGAAAACAGACCCAGAGAATTTAAGTGGCTTGCCTAAAATCATGGAGCTGAGGAAAACAGGATCAGAAGCCAGGTGTGCCTGACCGGACACCCCATGCCTTTTACCATTATAGCAAGCGCAGCTAAAATCCTCCTGGAGCCAAGAACCTAGCCCCCCACCCCCAAGCTAGAAGAACTTTCTATCACATATTCTAAAGATTAAAAACTCCAAATGAGAAGGGACTCTCATTCTTCCCCAGTGGCTGTCTGTCCCGCTTTCAAATGCGTATTTCATCCTCTTTACTGGGACTCCTCAATTTTCAATATCTAAGTTGTTTATTGCAACTACAAGAGGATCCCCTGGATCCCCAAACAGTTCTTGAGTGGATGCGGCAGGAGAGCTAAGCCCCCTTTTAAAAAGAAGCCATAAGGCTGAAGCATTAAGAACCAAAGTGAAACAGTCACCTCGTTTCTGGCTGGAAGATGTTCCCTCTCATTCCTTCCTATATAGGGAGAGCTGTTTAGCAAACAGCTACTCAATCATAGTTCAAAGAATTCCAAGTTTGTGCTCTTATCTCCACATGAGATTATCCTCAAATGAACCAGCATCTCTAACTCAAGGACGCACCTGTGGGATGATGCTTCACGGACTGCATGACCAGGAATTATCTAGAACAAACAGTTCTGTGCACAGCATGTTCTCTGAGGAGTCTGCCCACCCTTACAGGAAAGCCCGTTGTCTGCAGTGCATTTCGCAGGGGTCTGGAGCCAAACTAGTGCAAACCCACACCACAGCAGAATGCCCCCGAGCTGAAATTCACCTGCAACCTCTTTTCCTTCTCCCCACCCAAAACGTGCACCCACACTTTCACGCAACACACAGAAATCTCCGAAGCTTGGAGGAGAATGAACAGAGATTATCACTCCCAGAATTTGGGATTTCATAGTGCAGTGCAATTTCGGAAGCATTTGGTAGACTGATGGAGTTAAGAAAACAGATACTTAAGAGCCAACACCACTCACGGCCACAAACCCCTATTATCTTCTATCCCTACCATTTCAAAAAGGACAAATTTAAAAGTAAAAACATAGGGGAAAAAAAGCCAGAGGCTCAGAGTAAAAGACAACCCTTCCTCAGGAAGAGAGTAGAACTTTCAGGCATGGACACACGTATGCACAGGGGTGCAGAGGCAGGCGGAGTGTCACTGCAAACACCCTCCTCGTTTTCCCTCCCTCCCTGCAGATGGGACAACTGGTTCTAGACCACAGGTGGGCCCTGAGGAAGCACTCAACCAGGCCGGATGCCCCCCCACCCCCCCACCCCCCCACCACCTGGCCCAGCATGGGAACGCATCTCAGCCCAGGCCCATACTTCCCAGTTCCCATCCTTTTCCTCCTTCCTAACCGGGCAATGGCCGGCGGCCAGACACGTCCTTTGGTCCTCTGCACGTCCTGCAAAGCCCCGATGGAAATGCTATCAACTCTGCTCCTGGAGAATAAACTCTACTTTTTCCCAGAAATGGACTTGAAGTGGTTCTGTGTACACACTGTGAGCAATGCCTAGTTATGGGGATTTAAGGAGTATACATAGTGCCACCCACAAAGTGAAGAAAAATTAGGAAGCACTTTACTATAACATTAAGATTGGAACAATTTTCAGAGAGGAAATACACGTGTGTGAATATGGCAAATGAAATCACGTAAGATACCACCTTCAACGTGTCAGAATGGCTAAGATCAAAGAGACAGGAACTAACAGGCGTTGCCGAGGACGTGGACAGAAGGGAGCCCTCGTGCACTGCAGGTGCGAACGGACCCTGGGGCAGCTGTTGTGGAAAGCAGTGTGGAGCTTCCTCGACAAAGTAAAAGAACTACTGTTGGATCCAGCAGTTCTACTTCTGCATATTTATCTGAACAGCAACACTAATCTGAATAGGTATATGTGCCCCATGAGCAGCACGGCATTGCTCACAACAGCCAAGATAGGGAAGCAGCCCAGTGTCCATCCACAGAGGAAAGGATGAAGATGTGGGGTGTGTACACACACACACACACACACACACACGCAGGAATATTAGTCATAAAAAAGAACAAAATCTTGCCATTTGGGACAACACAGATGGACTTGGAGGGTATTACACTAGGTAAAATAAATCCGAGGAAGGCAAATACGCCATATGATTTCACATACATGTGAAATCTAAAAAAACAAACGGCTCACAGATGGAGAGCAATCCGGGGGTCGCCCGAGAGGAAGGGCTGGGGGATGGGTCAAAGAGGGGAAGGGGATGAAGAGGTACAAACGTGCAGGCACAAATAGGACAGGGACACCGCCGGGTACCAGGCAGGGAATGGTTACTACGTGACCACTTGATCGGGAGGCCCGTTCCACCTCATCCCATAAACACCCTCATGGCCACTCATCCTCCGTCCAGAAGAATTCAGCGGCGTCTCAACTGGCATCTGGAACAGAATTAAGAGGAGGCGGGGGGAGCAGAGCAGGTCTTGCCTTTTCGTCCTGGTAGATCTTGTTGACGCTCTCCAGCTGCGAGTCGTGGCTGGACTGGATGCGGTCGAGCTGCTCCCGCTGCTTTTCCAGCTCTCCCTGGAACTCGTTCTTCTTCAGCTCCACCGCGCCTCTCTCCGCCGCCGCCCTGCGGACCCTGCCCTCCAGCTCCAGGATCCGGGTCTACAAGGACAGCGCGGCACGTGACGGCGAACCCCAAGCTGTCCCCGCGCACCCGGCCACTGGAGGGCGCTCCCTGGGAGAAGCCGGCTCGGGCCGAGCCAGCAGCAAGCCCTACAGTCGGAGGTGTGCTCCCAGGCCCCGCGGGCAGTGCTGCTGGGCCCCCCTGCGTCCCCCTCCGCAGCCCTACACTCCCCGGCTCCCATCCCCCTCCTCCTTCCTAACCGGGCGGTGGCGGGCGGCCAGACACGTCCTCTGCGTGTCCTGCAAACCCGCGATGCGAATCCTGTCAACTCTGCTCCTGGAGAATAAACTCTACTTTCTCCCAAAAATGGGCTTGAAGGGGTTCCGTTAAGAACAATCCTGGAAGTCAACTGTGTAGAAGCGACTATTTTTTTCCAGAGAAAGTGTTACAAGTCGAGGAAGTCACTTCTCCGGGCTTCGCAGTCACAGGCTTATCTCCCAGGAAATACCAGCACAACCCTCCCAGGGCGTCGTGAGGCCTGAAGGAGGAAAGTCCACGCAGTGCCTCAGGCTTTCCCAGGTGCGCAAATACTTAGTTTCCCTTCCGCCGCTGAAAGAGCGCTTAACTCGTGGCAGACAAAACCTCTCAAAACAGATTCAGTTCTCCAGCTCAGGACACTAAGTCCACGTCTGCCCAGACAGCGGGCTCCCGTGGAAGCGCACAGGGGCGGCCGGGCCCGACAGGACACTCGGCCGCGACGGGGCTTCACGGCTAAGAGCCCGAGCTCTGCCATCAGAGACTGGGCTGGAATCCCCGCTCCTCGTGAACCGCACCGCTCTGCGTCTCCGTCTGCCCGCCTGGGAAGGGGGACGGTGAAGTCCCGAACGGACAGAGTGCGTACAAAACAAGACAGTGTATCCACTGCACTGCTGGAGAAAAACCATCCGGGCACTTGTGAAAATGGGAAGGAAAACTTCCTTCAAGACTCCTGCAAGAGGGGTCGTGTCTATGCAGTAGGAGAGAGAACCGGCTGCACCCTGAACCCAGCGGAGACAGCTAAGGGCCAACAGTGGAGGGAAGGATCAGTGGAGGAAAAGTGTCAAGAGGAGACGTCAAGGGCAGGGGGATTCTTGCTAAAGGCAGGCAAAGGGCTCAGCCATCAGCAAGAGGGAGCAGGGGCCTGATCAGGTACTGGGGGCTGGGGAGGACTTAGCAGGATTCTTTGCTAAGCGGGCTGGGCAGGCTGAAGACGGGATGGCGGGGGTGGGCAAGACGGAGGCCTAGAGGAGAAGAGGGGTCAGAGGTGCCTGACTGAAGTCCGGTCAAGGAGAGTCTCTGTCCTAGCTCAGCACTGCTGACCCACGATGCCCAACAATAAATCGGAAAGCTAAAATCATTATCCCTGAATGAGGATTTTAACAACTGGCACCTCTAAAAAAAAAAAAAAAAAAAAACACCTTTCCCACACCTGTTACCCAAATACATTTCCAACACCGCTCTGAGATCCGGCGTGGACCGGAGGACCCGACGGGCTGTCAGGGTGATAAAGCAGGCAGTCTTCCCAGAACCAGCGCCCATGGCTGGACGAAAAAAATCACTCACTCACAGGCCAAGCCGAGAGGGCTCTTCTGGGGGCAATCCTAAGCCACAGAGAGGCCGGACTCTCCACCCAAGGGCAGAGCGGATGTGGAGAGTCCGGCCCTGGGCGGGCTGTGGGGATATGCGGAGCCCCAGACTCCAGATACAGAGTGCACAAGCCACTGAGCGTGATGCCTTAGGGGGCGGTAAACAGCAGAGCCCTCAGACCCCACCACCCGGCGACCTTAAATACTTGCAGACACCCATGCACACAGACAAGCCAAGCACCTGGAGATCCACGCTCCGGGAGCTGGCGATCCAGTAGTTGAAGCCCAGGACAATGATGCAGGCCACCAGGGCGGCCAGCACGAGGGGCGGCGACTTCATGCTCCGGCGCCCGTTTCCCAGTCCCATCATCTCAAAGGCTGGGGGAGAATCTGTCAAACAAAACAAGCGAAGAAACCCTTGTACTCAGAGTGCCGCCGCACCAGCAGGAAAGCATCTGTGCCTCGAACGCGAACCTGTGGGAAGGAGACCATGTAAGTGGCACACCCAGAGTCCACACGGGTGTGTGGCCCAGGTGGTGGGCCATCCCCCCAGGACAGGCTGGTTGGAGGGAGCGCCATCCTGGAAACCCACCACCTGCAGGTAATTTCTCGTGCACTTCAGCTTCCTCTTCTGTAAAATGGGGTTAAGTGCAGTCTCTTCCCCGCCCCCCACTCCAGGACAGGTTGAGAATGAATCATCTCTGTACACAGTGACAGCTAATATTAAATGCTTCCACATCACCTTAGGGAAAAAAACCCATGTCTCATTGTTCCCCCAAAGAGGCCTTTTTAATTTGAGTCCTAACACGGGAGGGTTTTTCACCTTGGACAGAATTACTAATGACACCCAATTAAAGCATTTGTTGAGCAAAGCCAGAAAGCACCCCGGAGGAGTGTGTCCCCCCCCCCCCACACACACAGGGTGCTGGCGGCAGGAGTGAGGTGTGGGCCCGGGCTTCCTCGGAATGCCTGCTCCTCTCCCCACGCAGCGCATCCACATTAGCAAGAGAGCTGCAGAGTATCCCCTTCTCCAGAGAAAGCCAGATACAGCTTACAAGAAGGAAGTGATCAGGTTCGTTCATGGACTTCAACCCAAGACCAGGTCTGCCTGGATACCAGCACGCGGCACGAAGCCCAAGGAAAGCCGACTTTCCCAAGTGGCTTGGCTGAGGCAGATAAAACAGGCCTTATCAAAGGAAGGGCAGCACGCACAATAAAGGGCATCTGTGAGAACAGGCATGCTTTTATGCCAGGTGTGGCCCACAATGGAGGAAGGAGGGGGGAGGGAAAGGGGAGGGGGGCAGAGGAAAGGAAAGACGCCCCCGCCCCCCCCAGGGACTCAACTTCTGGGTTAAATTCAATCGAGCAAGAACAGAGCAGAGCCGTCAAGACCAGCTCTCCCCCTAAGGTGTTCCTAGCCAGGTGTGTCACTGGGAGATCTCTTCCTTCTTAATAATCAGGTACTAGTGTGGGCGTCTAAATGGGGTAAATGAGCAATCTCTGGAATCACCTGAAATAAAGTACCACCAGAATTCCGAAGCACAGAACTGACCTTAGCCTCTGCTGGTGCCTCCCTCACCAGCCTCTGGTCTCTCAGGATGAAAGAGAAAAAAAAAACTTTAAAGATCAATTATCAGTTGAAATCAGCAAGCACCGTTCATATTAAAGGAGAGTAATGCTCAGAAATACTAAACTTCTAGAAAATTCTATGTATCTGCTGAAAATGTGTCTCCACTGCCTTATATCTGATTTTGTTCACTAAACAGTCTTTTTTACTATTTTTAAACTTCAAGAAGTATATATAAAACTACTACAAATACAACTGGGGAGAAAAGCCACACAGTAAAGTATGAAATTTGAAGTCTCCCTCCAAATGGCGGCATCCGCCCATTCCAGCAGCTCTCAGCCCTCACAGGACCCCAGCATCACCTGAGACCACCTGGGACCCCAGCGTCACCTGGGATCGGGGCGTGGGACCCACTCCTCCACTTCCAATTCAACGGCTGTAGAGAAGTGCCAGGTATTTGTAGTTTTCAGTGTCCCCAGGTGATTCTAATATGCAGCCACTCTTGTAGGTGTCATTCTAGATGTTTCTTGATGTTTATACAAGCATTGCCATACATGTTTTTAAATCCAAACAAGATCATTCCCACTGTTCTCTAAGTGTCGTGAGTCACTTAGTCATACATCTTATCGCACTTTTCCTTGCAGCCCATTACGGTTTGCTCTTTTCTTTCTGAAGTTCTGGATGGGGCCCCACTGTGTTCCAGGATTTATTTAACCAATCTCCTACAGAGGGCCATCCGGCTTATTTCCAACAACTCTGCCATGAACACCCTTGACATCCACATCTGTGTTTGCAAACTTCTATCCTGGTGTGCGAGCCCTTACACACAATTCTGAAACCCAAAATGTTCTAAAAGCCCAAAGGGATTTTTAAAAACTTATCCACGGCAACAAAACCTAACCTGAACTCAGATCAAGGTCTGATCGGAACTCACCCAAAGCTACTTATATAGTCTCTTTCTCCCTTCATGTGAATATGCGTATGTTTTGCTGCAGAAAGATTAGTGTTTGATTATGGGGTGCTGCCGCAGATCCTGCTGGGGCTGTCACATAATATATAATAAGTGCATCTTATTATCTTCTGAATTCTGAAAAATTTCTGAATTCCAAACACATCAGGCTTCCAGGGGTTTGGGGAAGGGAGGAGGAACCAGCAAGGAGCTTGCTGGGTGTGAGGCATTGATCAAGTGTTTCAAATACGGCACTCCCTGAAGCCTTGAGAGGCTCTGAAGGGGCACTGATCACCCCCATTTGGCAAGTGATGGAATACATCACAGACAGCTGTAGGTAAATTTCAGTAAGTGGTCCTGCTGGGTCATAGGCCTTTAAAACTGATAAATCTTACTGCCTCCAAAATATTTAGCAAATTACAAAGGGCAAAAAGTGGAGAATCCTGGCAGACGCCACCTTAAGCCAGGTGATCAAAGTGAATGTCACTACCGGCATCACAGACCGCCTAATAGGATGCACTGGGGAGAAAAGCTCTCAGGATCTTAAATTGAGGGACATTCTATGTCCAAAAAGGGTTAAAATCATGAAAAGCAAGGAGAAGACTGAGGAACTGTCACAGAGATGTGACAACTAAACAAGGGAACTATGGGTGAAGGATATATGGGAACCTTCTGTACTATGTTTGCAACTCGTTCATAGATCCAAATCAACTAAAAAATTTTTGATAGCTCTTACTCTATTGGCTTTCAAAGCAGTTCCAATAATTGACTCTCACTACTAGTATGAGAAATGTGTTTTCTCACACAATAACACCAAAATAAAACTTTTTAATATTTGGCAATCTCATCAGTAATGATATTTTAAAACACATTTCTTGGGGTACATGGCTGGCTCAGTCCATACAGCACGCAACTCTTGATCTTGGGGTCGTGAGTTTGAGCCCCATGTTGGGCATAGAGCCTACTTTAAAAAAATACATTTCTTTAGTTATGAACATAAATGAGCATCTTTTCATTTATTGGCCATTTGTTCATTTTGGTGAAATGTCTTTTCATATTTTCTGCCCATTCTTAAACTTGGGTGTTCATCTTGTTGATTTGTAAGAGCTCTTTGTATGCTAAAGATAAACAAATCTTTCGTCTGTCATGGGAATATCTTTTATTCTCAATTTTTCATTTGTTCTTGAACTTTCTCTTTGAATTTTTTGCCCATAGTTTTTGGTTATTGGTGGTGTTTTTAAAATAACCTAATCTTGTCAATCTTTTATTGTCTGGATTTTGTTGGTACTTAGACGTTTCTACTCTAAATTTAGAAATACATTTACCCATAAAAAAAATCCACTTGGAATTCACTTTTGATGTAAGGAGTAAAAAATACAAAAATATGAGGTTTGGGTTTTATGTGTGTGCATGTGTGGAACGGCTAGCCTGTTCTGTCAGCACCCTTTACAGAAAAATCTGTTTTTATCGGAGGGCTTTGAAAGCCTGTCTTTGTTTATACTTAATTCCCTAACCATATACTTCTAGATTGGGGTCCTTGTCTGACCTTTTATTTTATTCCAGCAGATATAAGTCAATGGATGGATATACTACAAGTCTGAAAACAATAAAAACTCCATTCTCACCTCAAGGGAAGTATTCTGATAATCTTTCAAAATGCTCCGTTCTTGAGCCCGTTAAAATGTCCTGAGCAGCTGCTCGGAGACAGATGCTGTACAGCCACCAGGCAGCTCGGGGCAGGGTCAGGAGAACAAACTCTGGAACCTACTGCCCGTGTCGGACTCTGGTTCCACCTCTTAGGAGCCACAGGACCTGTCTGAGGATCGCTGTCCTCCTCCTAAGGATATTTGAGGACTAAATGAGTTAAGATATGAGAAGTGCTTAGAACCACATCTGGCATATAGAAATTGCTCAATAAATTTTAACTATTATTACTTTAGAGATGGAAAGATGGAAAAGAAATCATTTCTAGATCGTCTTTTCCCCATTTTATAAAGAAAAGGTGATGAATGTCTCCCTTCCACCTTGATTCTATTTTAGAGGAATGAGCCTTGTGCGTTCGTCCTATTAACTCTGCTGTCAATGAAGCAGTGGTATCTGCCGTCACCTGCGGCTGACTCCCCACCACCGCGGCACTGGACGCCCCAGACCAGGACCACAGGATGGCCAAGAGAGGTTTGAGGAAGCCCCTCACCAGGTCCCTGTGCTTGGCTGGCCAGGGAGGTATGCAGCGGCCCAGAGGTCACAGTGAGGAGAGCCCGGGGCTCCCACTGGACCCAGGGCCGCCCAGCTAAGAAGGCGAGCAGGAGGAAGGGAGGCCAGCACTGAGCCTCTGGGCAGCAAGGTGCTTGGGCGCTGACTTCCAGGGCTGTGGAAACCCCTGCTGCTGAAAAACCAAAGGCCAGACACAGGTGGGAAGTGAAGACTGAGGTGGTAACTCAGAGCCATAGTTTACAGGTGTCAGATACCTCGGAGGCTCTCCTTCCCCCACCTTAGTCCTGTGGACCTAGGGGGTGATGCAGGAGACGTCCTGCATCAGATATATTAATAATCATTATAACTGGGGCTTCAGAATGTGCTTTGTCTCATATTTGATTGTAAGTATCTGACTTATTAAAAAATGATTAATCTTAATCTGCTAAACTCTGTGAAACCCCAGGCTTCCCTGGAGAAAAAGAAAGTGGTGTGTTTCTGCATTAAAAGTGTCTTGGTAAATGGGAAATGTGAAAAAAACTGCACATTCTTTCCTACTGGCTTAATTTAAAAAATTCAACCTACTGGTTAAAATTATTATTTGCCCGTAAGACAAAAATTTTTTTTGTAAAAGAAGAGAAACTTCTAATTACTTATAAAAAAGAAAAAGCACCTGAAAATGAGTAACCTGCCAAATACACTGAACCTACTACTTTTATTTTTTTCTCATTTCCTTATTCCCACATAGGTTTTTTTGTTTGTTTGTTTTTTACGAGAGCCAGAGAGAGCACTCAAGCAGGGGCAAGATAGGCAGAGGGAGAGAGAGAATTTTAAGATTTTATTTATTTATTTGACAGAGAACACAAGCAGGGGGGGAGGAGAGGGAGAGGGAGAAGCAGGTTCCCCCACTGAGCAGGGAGCCCGACTTGGAGCTCTATCCCAGGACCCTGGGATTATGACCTGAGCCAAAGGCAGCTGCTTAACCGACTGAGCCACCCAGGCGCCCTGGAGAGATTCTTAAGCAGATTCTACACTCAGCACAGAACCTGACATGGGGCTTGATCTCATGACCCTGAGATCACAACCTGAGCTGAAATCAAGAGCACAACCAACTGAGCCACCCAGGCGCCCCAAGAATTTATTTTTAAGTAATCTCTACAACCAATGTGGGGCTCAAACTCACAACCCTGAGATCAAGAGTCACAAGCTCTACCGCCTGGGGGCCCCTCCCCATAGGGGGTTTTAGTCATACAGGCAAATAGTGCAGGTAAGAGCAATCAAATCAGAATAGCTTGTTAGACCAACGTGGCCACTGCAGAAACAATACAGCTTCTCCAGCGGGAGAGTCCCACCTTTCTTCCTTCTCAGAGGAAATTGCCTCACCTGGATCTTGGAGAGTCAGAGCAGGAGGTGCTCGGCAGGAAGTCTAGAAGGCCCTCTGCAGTAAGCAAACAGACCTGAGAATGCCCTGTTCAGCACAGGTGAACGATTCGGTCACCAACATTTTTCCGAGGGTTAAAAATATTCTACCATGCCCCGAGAATGTCTCCAAGCCAGGGGTCAGCATACCAGGCCGACAGGCCCATGGCCTGTTTCGTAAACACAGCCCCGGTTAGCTCCTTTATTGACCAGAGCTGTTTTATGGCTACAAGGCAGTTGATCCAAATCTACTCATAGGGTTATTATGAGGACTCAACCGGTCAAAGTACTTATTATCTGGCCCCTTAGAGAAGTTTGTCATCTCCTGCTCTAAACCATTAGGACTGAATGACCAGGTCCACAGCATTCTCCTTAAATTGCTCTCAAAACTTACCAGGAAGTGCAGAAAATCTCCTCCTCTCACTCCCCCAATCCCCAATTATAAACATCATGTTTCCCCAACTCCGGAAGCTGACAGTTTATAAAAGAAAAAAACTTCAACGTCATGGGGACCGCAGTTCATAACACTATACTGCATATGTGGAAGTTGCTAAGAGAGTACATCTTAAAAGCTCTCACCACAAGGAAGAAAATGTAACTGTGGTGACAGCCATTAACTAGATTTATTGTGGTGATCATTTTGCAATACACACAAATACTGAATCATTACGTTGTACACCTAAGACTAGCATATGTCGATTATACCACAAATTTTTTTTGAAGAAGAAACTTAAAATTCATGTGCAGGACAGGGCGCCTGGGTGGCTCAGATGGTTAAGCGTCTGCCTTCAGCTCAGGTCATGATCCCAGGGTCCTGGGATCGAGCCCTGCATTAGGTTCCCTGCTCAGCGGGGAGCCTGCTTCTCCCTCTCTCTGCCCCTCCCCCACCCTTCCACCCCTGCTCGGGCTTGCTCTCTCTCCCTAACCCATCCCCCCACCTCTCAAATAAATAAAATATTTTAAAAAAATTCGTGCATGTTTAGTACTATGTAGTGGAAATACCAAAGAGCAAGATGGACGAGTGAAAATGAATGAGAGGAACCAAATTTCATTGTGTTTTTTTCCAGCACTTGCAATTTTCTGAAGAAAGGCCGCCTCCCACACGGATACCAAGACTACATCTTGGCAGGAACTCCCGAATTTTCCTCCAGTTCAGGAGTTGGCAAACTGCAGTCCAAAGGCTGAATCCTGCCAGGCACCTGTTTCTGTACACTGCCCATAAGCCTAGTCTTCACAGTTTTTAATGGTTGCAAAAAAAAAATAAAATAAAAAGTTCACATGTGAACAGCACATGCAATTAAAATATGGGTGTCCCTAAATAAAGTTTTATTGGGACACAACCACTCCCATTCATTTATGCCCCGTCTAAGGCTGTCAGGCTACAAGAATTGAGTCTACCAGCAGGGCACATGAATCCCAGAGGGTATAGAAGATGCTCAGCGGGGCTAGGGAAGAAAATCCTAGCAGTTACATTAATTTGTATCCAAAAAGTGTGATATCAACTATATTTCAGTAATGTAACTATCACATAAAAATAACTTGCAAGTATATATGTATACTAATTATATTATCTCATACTATGTAACATTATGCTAATTCTATTATACTACCATAAAATAAATACTAACAGTGTTAATAAAAGTAGAAACTGACGGGCGCCTGGGTGGCTCAGACGGTTAAGCGTCTGCCTTCGGCTCAGGTCATGATCCCAGGGTCCTGGGATCGAGTCCCGCATCGGGCTCTCTGCTCCTTGGGAGCCTGCTTCTCCCTCTGCTTCTCTCTCTCTCTCTCTCTCTGTCTCTCATGAATAAATAAATAAAATCTTAAAAAAAAAAAAAAAAGTAGAAACTGACTCTGCATGCTAAGTCCCTCTGTTGAAGGTCACAAGTCACCACCTCTGAGGTGCCTGAGAAACCCCTCTGACTTCGTTCGGCACTGAGCACAGTGAGGTGGACTGACAAATTATAACTACGCTAAACCTTACAGAGACTATGAAGCTTTAAGATTCATATGAAAAGCACAAATTGAAGTTATTCTAATAAACGTAAGCATGGGCAAACACGAGTCCACCGCTGGGAAGGCCCAGGCTTCTTATCCTCAGTTCTGCATGAGCCATGTCACAAAGTAAAACCTATGATGATATAATCAGATCTGACAAGAAACAGGCCAAAAATACTCACAGTTCAAGGAGTATATGAAAGAGGGCTTTACTGCCGCTGTCATTAAGCATGAATCCAGCCCTCAGAGTATCCTGGGCCTTGAGATACAAGACAGTAACAATAGCACATGCACCTAACTTATAAATTAGTAACATACAGACGAGTGCTAAACATTTGTTTAATTGAGAAAACTGATACATAACACTGAATTAATTTTAAGTTGTTTTTTAAACTAATGAGAATGATCAAAAAAGTTTGGAAATCACAGCAAATTACCGTCTGTATCACCATGATCATATTATGTAGTACTCTTACATATCTTTTCCTCCTGTCAGGCATTAATTAATCTTCAAAATCTTAGCTAGGGGAAGTTCTATTAACACAACCCTGAAAGGTTTTAAATAAAAATAAGATCAAAATATTGTAACAATCAGAGAAGGCATGATTTTTTTTTTTTCTTCTGAAAGTGTAGGAAATTCACTGTGTGAAACAAAGTGGACTCCCTGGGAACTTGGTAAGCACTTCTGAAACTTCAAGCCAAGTCTTTTCATGTAATGTCATCAGTAACTGGAAAAGTCTAAAAAAGAAAATGACCACAACCTAAGAATGTTTTTTTGCTAGAGGAAGCGGGGAGCAGGCAAATGAAATAACACTCACACTTTTATAAAGTGAGACAAAAGCTTATCAAGACCATTCCTACTTTTGTGCAAAAAAAAAAAAAATCTAAGTCTTTTTTTTTTTTTTTTTACAGCAACAAAAAAAGAAGTGTTTCTCTTTCCCTTATCCAAATAATGGATGTTATTTCTCACCTTAGGTTATTAAAAAAAAAAAAAAAGGTAATGAAAGAATACAACTACATTAAAGCCAGGGCATGGGGCCTCTCATCCCTCATCTTGGCCTCCCACCCTCCCTTCCTGGGGCTGGCCTTCTCTGGGGGCCAGGCCACCTTCAAGCTCCCTTTCACTAAAGAACCAGCCAGGGAACTGTGCTTAGCACAGCCTGCTAGAAGTGATACCCCAACCTTTCATCTCCTTCCTGGAGAGGCAGTTTCCCC